CTGCCTCACCATCAAGTTGGATTTATTGGCAAGGACAGGTGTTAATTTAGTTGTTTTTATAGCTTTGATTTTGTAAAACAGCATGGATGCTTGCCACCTAAAGCATTTCAAATAATTACTTCATGGTGTTGAAAGTTAAAATACTATGGTGGTTCATTTAAGATAAGACAGGCAAAGTACTGACCAGCAGAAAGTGCTTTGCCCATGCCTGGGTAACAGGGACCCAGAGGCTGGGAACCCACCTGTGGCTGCCTGTACTTTCCAATCTGAAACTGGTAAGTTACTGCAGAAATCCAAATTCTGATACAAGTTTGGAAAATACACTTTTTTTTTAAAAGAATTTGGATTTAAGCAAGGTTGATCTCTTAGCTCTTTTTTTATATTATAACATTATTCCATTCTGTTATTTATTACTATTAAAGAATATCAGAGACATAATAATTGTGTAAAAAATTATTCTCATAGTTTTGGAGGACAAGAAAGTGAAAATGAAGTACCAACATCTGTCATGAGTGTTGACAAGCCCTGCCAGCATTCATGAGTATGAGTAAGAAGGATTGCCATGAGCTAGAGCCAAGCCTGGCCTTTATAGTGAATTCCAGGCTCTCCTGAGCTATAGAGTAAGACTGTGTATAAAAACAAAATAATCAAAACCCCTATTCTCTCCTGATGGTCTCCTTACTGTGTCCTCACAGACCTGAGGAAAGTACATGGAAGCAGTGGGACTCCCTTACCTCTCCTGACTGTTCCTCTAACACTGCACATCCCATCACAGCACCTGTCCTTCATGGCCTCTCTCCATCCCAATTACCCTCTGACAACCTCACCTTAAAATAACATGGATGTGTAAATCTGAGAATTAGATTTCCAAACATGTGGAATTTGCAGGTTTCATTCAAACCATCACAGTTTGGCTTGAGTCCGTAGACCTTGACCAAGGTAAATTTGAGAGTGTAAATATGGCTTACACCCAAGAGAGAAGCTAGAGTTAACCAGTCTGTAGAGAAAACAGCAAGTAAAACACATGGGTACGAAGAACAGAATATCATAGGCCAAAGGAACATGTAATGAGCAATTATTGACAGAAGTTTTGCTAATCTAGTTTCTTGGAAGCTTTTAGACTTACATACAAACATTCATGAATCCTGGTAATTTGTTCAGTCCTTTTAATATTTTAAGGCATCAATTTCTTTCCAACATAATCCATAGCTTTAGTAAAATACTATGTTGTAAGTGATTATAAATAATGTGACATACTGGATTCAATGGGGAAAAAAGGTCAGGTATGTATACTCATTTTTTAGGTGAAATCATAGAAAATAAGATTCTATAGATTATAATTTTAAGAATATAATGAATCTAACTGAATCTATCCATATACAAAATAACTGCTGATATGTACTGAGCACCTGATATACACCAGATTTTATTCTTATTATATTTAATATCATTTGTCTCTGCATCAGGATGATCAACTCCAAGTGGCTTTGAGTAGATTTTAATATCATCATCACCATCATTTTAAAGATGAAGACAACAGTGATACATGGTTAACAATCTAGCAATTCTAGCAATTTAATCTAGAACACCAAATGCCACTCTCAGAGCTCCTATTCCTGACTATATATTGTTGTGCATATAAGTTTCTTTCCAAGTGTGTTCTAGGAGAGTTGTACAGAGAAAAGCATGGTGCTGTGGGATATTTGTACACTGTATGAAGATGTATTGCTGTGACTGGTGTAATAAAAATTTGAACGGCCAATAGCTAGGCAGGAGAGTATAGGCAGGACTTCAGGCAGAGAGAGAATTCTGGGAAAAAGAAAGGAGCGGTCACCAGCCAGATATGGAGGAAGCAGAATGGGCAGTATGGAGATGAGGTGATGAACCACATGGAAGAGCATAGATTAGAGAATATGTGTTAATTTCAGTTATAAGAACTAGTTAGGAGCAAGCCTAAGCTAAGACCAAGCTTTCATAATTAATAATAACTCTCTATGTTGTTATTTGTGAGCTGGCAATCACAAAAGAAAAATTAGACATGTTGCATCCAACATGTGGCAATTCCACATGGATGGAAGTCATGCAAGCCGGCATTGCTGGGGCCTCATAGCAAGCACTCAGAGCAGTTGGCTGCCCCTTGCCGGTACTCCAGAAAGTGGGCTCAGCAACTTCCCAGAGTTAGGGTGGTAAATATGGCTCCCACAGGTACCTGCTGGCATGAGACTAGGCTCTCAGGGAACCAAAGAGGGAATGCAGATGAGGCAAGCAGAGTCACCAAATGATCTAGGCCCTGTCTAGCAGTTTAAGGTTTGACTCATGAAGACAGAGAAGGCTGCAGACATGCAGAAAGCCAGGAAGAGGCTGAACATACTCTGAATAGATAAAAATATGTTTAAAAGTGTGCTTAGGTCATGAAAAAAAAAAGAAAGGAAAATGGGTATAGGCAGTCATAGAAAAAATAGTTTAAAAATAATGTAAAGTCTTTAGAGAGTAAATTAATATTTAAAGAAAAAAGCCACATAAAGATGGGAAATAGATAACTTGTCTGGGATCCTGTCCACATTCCCAAGAGGCGGGGTGGGAGGGTGGGTTTTGATCATTTGGTGAGTTATGGATGTTTGTCATAGTTTAGGGTGGTTGCAGATTGTTACTGCTCATGGTAAGGGAGAAAACGAAGCAAGGGAAATTAGATCCAAGGATCTCTTTCTGAAAAGAAAAAGGGGGTATAAGGATGATAGAATGAAAGAGTAGATTATTGAATCTACGTTAGACAAAAAAGCAACTATTAATCTCAAATATTTTATATTAGTATAGATTTTGTATATTGATACAAATTTAAGATTATTTTTGTTATAACATACTTTATGTATGTTTCTACTCTTGTTTAAGGTATTTTTGTATACTAATAAAAATTTAAGATTATTTTTATTTTAATGTATATATGTTTCTTCTCTTGTTTAAGATATTGTATGCAGCTCATTTTAAAATGTAATATAAAGTTCTGGGTCTTAAAGACTAGTATTACAAACTGTTTAGGGTAATTAAGAAATATAGGTTAGAAGTTAGTCATCTATAAAAATCATGTTAGGTATGTATTTAAAGTTAAACAGATATATTTTAGATAGACAATTGGTCTTTAAACAATTCAGAGACCTACAGAATATGTCATTTAAGATTTTTTAATAACATAAGAATTCTCATGATAGTGAGACACATCTGTTCCTGAGAACACTAATCTATTGCAGAGAAAATGAGGGGAATTGAAGAACCTCTGATTGGAGTTTGGTTTTGTTGTGGTAAAGTTAGCCACTGGGAAGAAACTGTCTGTGCCTCGACTGCTGGCAATGTGCTGTCCAAATTGGATGAGTAGGAACCAAAAGAAGGTGATCGCTGAGCTTTTCCAAGACAAGGTAGGACAGTTCTTCATAATTCCTGTTTCACAGAAAAGTCTGTCAGATAATCTAGGCCTGTAGGCTGAAGATGGATGCCCCAACATTTCAGAGGAACCTTGGTGACTATACAGGCATCAATCTTTCTTTGTCATTTCTATAATTTTGGAAGTTGTTTCCTCTGCACTTCCTGTTTACTCAGCTAATATTATATCCTCCTCAGAGCTCTGATGGAGCTGAAGAATAGAAAGTTACAGTTTTATAATTTTCCTTGCTTCCAAATCCAGAAAAGAAACTTACATAAGAGTTGTAAAGTTTATAAAGTTGAGAGACATAAAAGCTTATGTTGTTTATCTAAGAAGATATTCTAGGGTCCAAAAGATATTTTTAGGGTGGTAATACAAGTTACGATAGAAAAATGGTTAAGATGGGATAGATAATATAGTACTTTCTCCTAATTCGCCAAATACATATGGACTGGACATTGTGAACGTACTTCTTACCTGATAATTGTTACTATTGTATACATTTTTACTGTTTTAGAATTAAAACCTTTCCTTTTTATTTAGACAATAACCAATAATTGTTATCCTATATAGTTTTACTGTGTTAAAGTTAAACCCTTTCCTTTTTATTGAGACAAAAATGGAAGACTGTTGTGGAATATTTGTGTACACTGTAAAGATGTGTCTCTGCCTAAAGCACCTTCTAATTGGTTTAATAATGACCTGAATGACTAATAGCTAGGCTGGAAAGAATAGGTGGGACTTCCAGGGAGAGAGAACTCTGGGAAGAAGGGAGGTAGAAAGACATCAGTGAGACTGAAAACAAGTTGGACATACCATACAGAGGAAAGGTTACTGGGCCACATAGCAAAACATAGATTAAAGAAGCAGTTTAATTTAAGTATAAGAGATAGTGGGACAATCCTAAAGGCCAAGCTTTCATCATTAATAAGAAGTTTCCATTTCATTATATGTGGGCTGGCAGTCCTGCAAAAAAAAAAATTGCTACTACAGCATGGCTCAGACATAAGAGAATAACACCCTAATATCAGTGACAGGAAATTGCAAGCAACAGAAACTAACATTCTCAAACTAAATATTATTTTACCATTAATAAAACATTACAAATCTTTCAGCAATTAAATGTTCTCACAGAACCAGACAAGTCAGATTTTGATCAAAAGCTTATGGCTGTGGTGGTGTACCCCTTTGTTGGAGTGTTTGCCTAGTTTGTGCAAGGCCACAATTTTGATTGTTCACACTGTCCTAAACCCCATACTAATCTAGGAATGATTTTAAAATTGTAACAAAGACACTGATTTTAGTTGGAAAGATTGAGTGATTATATTTTCAGCATAATGTGCATTTCTGGCAGTTTCTGTTTACTAATATGTGTGCTTTGTCTACTCAAAGATGCCTAAAGTACAGAAAGGGATCAATCAGTTGTTAGGTAAGAAAGACAAAAGCCACCTCCCTTGATGTTTAAAATAATTACCCGTAATGTTTGTGAAGCCAGTGGAGTCGATGCCCTGTGTCATTTTATTTCTTCTGATTAAAGAGAGGACCTTGTCCTCAGCACACAAATCAATACACACCACAGGACTGAATGCAGCAGCATGGCCTGCTGGGTCCAGGTGTTAGAGGCAGTGGTGGTAATTCTCTAACAGATTGTGAGCGGGAGATACCCTTTCTTCTTTGATCCTGATGTTTCCAGGACACTGTGAATCTGGGAAATCTCAAGAAGGAGAAAGGTAGCTGATACCTGGGCAGGAGGAGAAGAAGAGAGAGTCACAGAGCCCCAAGTAAGGAGCTTCATTCAGAATTGCATGAGGGTGCAAGGGTTCTGATTATACACCATAAAATGTTGATGGTAGTGGGGTGATAGGTTTTTCTTTTTCTATCAGACAATATGGATATATATCTAAATTTTCCCTTCTTTCTATCTCTCAAAACTCATTGAGGAATGCTTCACAGTCTTCTTGAATGGAATTTGAGAATATATAGGATATTTTCTGTCCCCCAGGAAAAATCAAAAATACTTATTTAATTTGAAATAAATTTTGACTTTGAATTTTACACGGATTTTAAGTTGGCTTATCTACATGGCTAGGATATAGCTTTTTTTCTCTTGGTTAATTTTTCTTAATGGTTATGTGCAGTAATTCCTGTAACATTTGTTTTAAAGTTCACTTTTTCCTTGAATGAAATATGCTGTAATTAGATTGAAGAATGGCTGCTGTGAGGATATCTTTGTTTCTAAATAGTCCTAGTCCTGCTGCACTCTCTCTGGTTTGTTCTGTTTGCTTCTGTTCTATTACACTCTACTAAACTTGACCCAACCCACCTGTACCCTTTTCAATGCTATCCTATCCTCTTGTCTATCAATACCACATATCACACTGTCTAATTATTTCAGGCTTACAGTAAAGCCTTGGAACCTGTAACTATTTTGTTACATGACTGTAACTATTTTGTTACTTGACTGATGCATGAGCTAACCTGGAATCATGATTCTTATCTCATAATCCTTGGTGATGTTCATTCATTACAAGTTTCTTTGGTTTGATTAATTTAATTTGAGTTTTATAATTTTATATAATTGAAGAATTTATATCTATGAATTATCTGTGCTTTTTTTTCTTTTTACAAATGATTTGAGGCTTCTTGATATTTAAATTTAGTAACAATTATGATAGCTTGGTATTTTCTCTGTATTGGCTGGCTTTTATTTACTATCATTAATACATAATACATTAATACACAATACCTTTGAAATTCTTGATTTTTTAATTTTCTTATGACTCATAGTTGCAGAATTTATATATCTTCATGGAACTTTATGCTCTTTCCTGAAATATCATGACCACCATACACATTTTAAAAGTAGTGAGTGATATACAGAAATTGTTGTGCAATGTTCTGTCTGGCAAATGTGTTGCTCTGATTTGTTAATAAATAATAAATAAAACATTGATTGACCAGTAGCCAGGCAGGAAGTATAGGCGGGACTAACAGAGAGGAGAATTGAGGGAACAGGAAGGCAGGGAGGGAGACTGCAGCTGCCGCCAGGACAAGGAAGATGCAAGGTACCAGTGGGCCACGAGCCACGTGGCAAAATATAGATTAATAGAAATGGGCTGCATATAAGAGTAAGAGCTAGACAATGATAGGCCTGAGCTAATGGCCAAGCAGTTTAAATAATATAAGCATCTGCATGTTTATTTTATAAGTGGGCTAAGGGACTGCCAGGGCTTGGCAGGATCTGGAGAGAAAACTCACAGCTCCACAGAATCTTAATTTTTACATACTTTCAGAAATCAGAATATGGCATGCAATGGCCAAAGGAGAATCAACATTAACAATTTAGACAAGGGAATTGTCTACCATATCCCATAATCAGAAATGTAATACTTTGTAATAATTTGTGTTCAAATATAAAAATACATCTACAGAAATTAGAAAGAATAAATTTCACCCTGCTTATATGTCAGCTTAAGCAAATTTCAATATGCCTAAGGACTCTAATATCTAGCAAAAAATCACTTAAGGAAAGACATCATGTTATTGAGGTTACAAGAGAGATTTGTGAACCCCTTTTTTTGCTTCTTACAGAGAATTATCTCATCTGAGAGTACAATTTTGCACACAGTACATTCCTGCCTGCAGTAGGAAAAATTTAATTAGAAAAAGTCATAGTTCTGATTGAAGGACATCTATGTTTACCATTTATTACAGCCTCATTTCACAGCCCCTTACACCTTTTCTGTATCAATTTGTTTAAGTACCTCTGAAATAACTCATGGAGGAAATAACTCGGAATATCTGTTGTTTCAGTCTATGTTATCAGCCTATGCCATTGTTGAGAAAGGGAAGACTCGGTACCTATATTTTTTTAGAAATTTATAAAATAATTTATAAGAAAATTATACTTTGCTCTATATTTGCCTCATGTTCCTTTGAGGTTCTCAACCTTGACCCATACTCATGTCAATGGGTTTGGACTTAGATTTAAAAATCTACCTCCAACTGAATCTCTCGCATTCTACCTCAAGGTTCTAACCTTGGCTTTGTGTGATCAAGCTCTTTGTCATTCTGCCTGTGGACTTGCACTTTGCAGCATCTGATTCTGGTTCCATTGTCCAGGACAAGGCTTTATATTCTCAAATGCACACTGACCTCCATTATGTTTCCCTGAGTAGATGATTGATTTGCTAGAGCTGTAAAAGACAATCTAGGGTTAAAGGCTCTTCCAATCCTGTAGTTACATAAGTATATGTGATTGTCAGGGTTCATCAAAACCTGCACTTCAAAGAGAACAATTCATTTTATCTAAATTAGAGTTTACTTTATCAAGCACTAGGAAAAGTAATGCCCAAATCAACAAAGGCAGACTATATTTCCTATATGAATTGACTTCATTTTAAGTGACATTTAAACAGAATATATACATCTTATTGAATAATTTTATGTTTGATACATGTATAAATTATTGAATGCTTAAAAATTTACTATATTTACTTTTTAGGACTTTATTATTCCTACATGGAAAACATTTTGAAAAATCCTCTCTTTAATCTTTGTGTAATATGCAGTAAATTGTTGCCTTCTCTGAATTCACCCTGCTGAAAGTTGTTCTGTGATTTTAAAAAATAGATCAGGAGAAACTGATAAGTACTATAAAGTTTATCATTGACATATACCAAGATCAGGGAAGCATCCATTCTTTGAACTGATGGAATTGATATACCCATGTCCTGTTCCTGGTTTATCATTCAAAGAAAGAGAAATGACTTCTGAGGAGGAAAATAGTATCGTTATGCTGGGTGGAGTCCTTAATGAGTGACAGATGGCTCACCGGGGCTCATACCCCCACGTAATTACAGTCTCTCAGTTTATCTGATGTCGATAGCCATCTTAAGGTAGATGAGAAACAACTAGAATAATTATGACTTCCTCAAAATTATTCTTTTGTTACATATATTATAGTTAAAATCAAATTTATTAGAAGAATGTGTTCATGTATTTTTTCAGCTTTCGTTGTAATACAAAGTGAGAACTGAGAAAGATTTTAAATAACAATACAAATTATAATTCATAAAATCACATGCATTTCAAAGGCTAAAAGGAGCAGATTTTTAAAACGTGCTTTTCTGAAAGATTACAAGCTCTTTGTTCTGAAGCCTGGTGAGATCAGTTTTTTGCAGGCTTCTCTGTGGTCCTCCTTTCTCATGCAGGATCACATCTTCTGTTGTCTGTGCTTTATAGTGAGAAATACAAGGGAGTCTGCTTAGGGGGGGGAATGATTTTATTAGGACATAAATTGGAAAAGACAACTCACTGAACAGAATAGGTGAATCGTTGCAGGGTCCTGGAAGGCTGAGGTCCTGTCCCACACTGCTCCTGCCACCTGAGTCAGTCTGCATCATGTATGCCCATGAGGGAGAGAAGAGAGAGAGTATATGTGCCTCTCAGGTCTTAAAGTTAGCCCCAAAGCCATGCCCTAGGGGCTGGTACTTCAAGGTCATAGGTACAACAAGTACTTATTATATATTTCCCCCTTTTGCCTAAATAAGAAAATTTTAACCTAATACAAAACTATTTACAATAGGAACGATTATCAAGTATTGTTCATGAGAGGGGAAAGTTAATAACATAAACAAAATAGAAATACAACCAAGAACAACATCAAACAAGAGACACATACTAAATATGCAGAAATGTCCAGACCATAGCATGGTCTGTTAGAGAGATTACTCCAATAGTTGTCCTATCCTGAAGAATCTCACTTTAGTACCTAAAATGTTCATAGCTAAAATATGAGAGAATGGTAACTGTAACTATCTAGTCTTCAACCCCATCAAAGACCTGAGCAGGAAAATAACATTACCTGACAAAACAGGAAGTGCAAGCAAGCAACTTCCAAAAATTGTAAGAATTGACAGAGACGGCTTGCAGCCTGGGCAGTCACCTAATGTTTCTCAGCACTGTGGATACCTGTTGTATCTATGAATTTGAAGTACCAGCCGCTGGGGCATTGCTGTGGGGCTCCCCTTAAGACATGAGAGGCACATACATTCTCATTCTCTTCTCTCCCTCATGGGCTTACATGGTGCAGCCTGACTCAGGTGGCAGGAGCAGTGTGGGACAGGACCTCAGCCTTCCAGGACCCTGCAATGATTCACCTATTCTGTTCAGTGATTTGTCTTTTCCAATTTATGTCCTAATAAATTCAATATGCCCTTTAAGCAGACTCCCTTGAATTTCTTACTGTGTCTGGCACCCAACATGGGGCATAGATCCAGAGATACCTAAAAAATCTTTCAAAAGGTTCTAGACACACACAAAATGGACCCAAGAGCAGCTTCATAGTTCAAATCTCTCATTGTGGTCTTTTGGTACAGAAGCACATAGCCTGGCCACAGCAGACTTGAGCTTCAGCATGGTAGAGTCCTGTGGTTTCCCACCAGCTTCAGTACAAAGAGGATCCTCCTAGTCACTGCATGTGGTTTTGAGAGCACAGCTATGTGCTACATGGAGAGTTCCCACAGCCATTTACATGGGCCTTGGTAAAGAGGCTTGTCCCAGCCACTGTCTATAGGCTTGAGGGCATAGCTGCATGCTACTTGGTGGTAACATGGACCCCACAGCTTCCTAGAGTTGGGGAGGTAAGTGTGACTCTCCCTGGTACCTCTGTCATGTTGAAAAACCAAGTAGGGCAGAGCCAGAAGTCAAAGCTTTGGTCTTAGCCATGCCCACATAGCAGTTTAAAAACTCACAGTCAGAAAAGCATTTACAGATATGT